TCCATCCATCCATCCATCCATCCATCCATCCATCCATCCATCCATCCATCCATCCATCCATCCCTCCATCCACCCCACCCGCCCATGTATCCTTCTCCTCACCCATTCCCACCAGTGACACCGATGGCCGCGTCCCGTGGTCCCTGAGTGCCACCACCCCTCTGTGACCATGCAGAGGACCCCTGCCCATGCCCACTCCCACCTTCCTCGCAGTTGGCTCCGGCGTGTCCGGGGCAGCAGCGCCATTCCAGCGCGGTCAGTGTCCTGTAGGTCACCCGGTAGAGGGGCCGGAGCACGGCGCGGTAGCTGCGGCACAGAGGGGCAGCGCTCAGACCCATCCCGGGACATCCCGGCTGTCCCTGCTCCCAGGGGACCCTGGTGGCCCCGCTCACCTGCCCCCGCTGCAGCCCAGGGGCCAGCGGCAGCCCTGGAACACCCTCTGCAGGAAGGTCCCGTTCTGGACGTGGCACGACACCGTCCGTGTYACCGTGTAGGAGCACCAGTTGCTGCAAGGGAAGCCACCGATGTCACCGTCCCTMCCTTGGGGACACCGTGTGGTTGCTGCCACCCAAACTGCCGTCCTGGCAGATGCTCACCCCCAGTTTTTGGGGTGCCCATGGGCAGCTCTGACACATGGGGGGAGCTGAGGCCCCACATTCCTGCTGCATTCCCGGCACGGCGCTGGCGCCGGCCGGCCTGGAGCGGGGCCCGGAGTCCCCCCGCACCCCCAGCCCACCCCACACAAAGGCTCCTTTCTTCTGCCCCACATGCCAGCCTCTGCCCACCCCTGCCCCGGGCACCCCAGCCTCAGTTTCCCCCTGCAGAGCGGGGGGGACACCAGTGCCACTGTGCCGAGTGTCCCCATCCCCGCGGCGGAAAGGACTCGCCGTACCCTCGGCAGCTCCAAACTCAAAGGCTGCTCAATTTGGGTCAAAAACGAGCTTTTCGGGACCKCTGCAGTGCTGCAAGGAGGGAGGCGGTGGCAGCAGGGACGAGCGGGCGCCGCGAGGGGGACAATTGTCTGGGAGGTGCCGGAGGCGGGCGGGGGACAGCGGGGTGGCACAGGGCTTTCCGGCCGGGCAGCGGCCCAGGCKGGCGCCGTGCCAGGGCTGTGGCAGCGCAGAGCCCGCCGGAGCTGTCGCCACGCTCCCGCTGCCACCCCGCCGGGCCGAGGGGGTCCCGGGGGGCATCGCCCCCTTGCGCGGTGCCAGCTCCAGCCGCGCTGGTGCCTGCCGGGAGTGGGATGAGGATGGGGATGAGTCCCGGCTCGCTTCCCGAGGGGAATGCCCTCCCAGGAGCGGGGCAGGAGCGGGCAGGCTCGGGCGTGTGAGCGCCYGCATGGCCCGCTGCGACCCCGGCCCACCCGCCACCGCGCTGGCACCCAGGGGCCCGAGCTCCGGTGCCAAGGCTGGTGCCCACCCGGGGCAAAGCCCACACCGGGCTTGGCTCCCGATCCTACACCCATTCCCCAAACCATGCGCTTGGCTTTGCGCCCTCGATTCGGGCACGTGGGATCGCAGCGATGCGCCAGGGAGGGATGGGATGGCACGGGGTGGGCTGGGCTGGGGGCTCCCGGGGGCACGGCAGGCTRGTGCCAAGGCGCCGGGGGCTTCCTGGGCTTGGCCGGTAGGGGAAGGGGAAATGAGGCGGCTTCTGCCCGTCGCCGAGCCGAGCCGAGCGGAACCGGGAGGTCCCGGCAATCCGGTGCCGGAGACACGGCCAGAGCCAAGGGTTTCCTGTAAACAACCCCCCCGCCACCGCCACCACCCCGCTGCCGCTGGGACAGGGACCACAGCCCCCCAGACCCCCTCCGGACTGGGCCACCTCCACGGGACGGGCGGGACCCTGGCGCTGGGGACATCACTCTTCACCAACTCCAGCAGTCCCAGYATGCCCAGAACTCCCAGTAGTGCCAGCATGCCGAGGCACCCCAGTATCCCAATACAACCGGGCAGCCCCAGGAGCCCCAGCAGCCCCAATAGTCCCAGTGGCCTCCATAGCCCCAGTATGGCCAGGCAGCCCCATTTTCCCAATATAGCCAGGCAGCCCCAGTATCTCCAGCATATCCCGGTATACCCAGGCAGCCCCAGTAGCCCCAGCTCACCCCAGCAGCTCTGATACCCCAGTAAGTGCCGCTAGACCCAGTAACCCCCCAGTAAGCCCTGCTGGCCCCACAACTCCCAGCTCCAGTAAGTCCAGCAAGATCCAGCATCTCCCAGTACCCCCACCCCAGTAGCCCCAGCAGCATGGCCCACACAGCCCCTTGCCCCCGATCCATGGTGGCCCCCACGCCTGGTGCTCAGAGCCCCCCAGTACCCACAGACCCCGTGCCTGATGTSCTCGACACCCGATGCCCCCATGCCCGGTCCATGACCTTGGACCCCTGGCACCCGCAGACCCCCGGATCCCGCCGTGCCTGACGCCCCAGGTGCCCAAATCCCCCGTGCCCGGAGCTCCCGGGCACTCCTGGATGCCAAGAACTGGGAGCCCCCAGTATCGGCAGCCCGCGGTTCCTGGCGCCCCCCGGTACCGGGTACCCACAGCAGGCGATTCCCGCCGTGCCCGCTGCCCCCATCCCCGCGTCCCCGGTGCCGGTACCTGCGGGCGGCGGGCGGCAGCAGGGCCGGGCTCCAGGCGGCGGCGGGCAGGC